TGCATATATGTGTTTTTCTTTGTTTTCACGTAATGTTGTGAATTGTCTCATTTTCGTAACGTTTTTTGTGTAGTTGTTAGGACACTTTCTTTAGGTTTGCTTGGTGTGACAATACCATGACATGACGAGAGGAGTTTACTAGCTCGCACAATAAAGGCGTCGAGCTTATGACGTAAAACAAACATGTTTTGTTTGTATTCGTTTATGTATGTATTGACTTGTGTTTTAACAAGTTGAAATTTGACCTGTTTTAAATTCTCAAATTTTTACTTTTCAACTTGTTTATTCACTTTCACCATTTGTTTTGTTCTGTCAATTTGTGTTTTTCCACAAGTCTGTCGTGTTTAGCTTGAAGAAGTTTGTATGTTGTAAATATTTTATGTTTGAGGTTGTGTAGGTGTAAATGGAGCTTGCATAGAAGCTGCACCAGCTACCCTATTTTTCTGCAACTGGTGTAGCGCACTTAGCGTGCTTTGTGCCTCTTAGTGCGCCCTACTGTGCAGAGCCAGTGAATTCTTTTTAATTTTCCGCTTGTCTCTCCTTTTTCCCACTTCACTCAAGGCTTTATAGTATAGTAATTAATAGTAATATTTCTAATTCTTTTTTTTTGTTTGGACTCAAATTTTGGTCCGATAGCTTGAAGTTGTATTTGATGATTTTCTGATTTTGAGTGTATCAACTTGTGGATATATGGTAATATAGTTTTTGAAGTTGGTACTCTCCAGGTCCTCGTTTATCGCTTTCTATAACATAACATATTCAGGAAACTTTTCATTTGTACAATTACCATGTAATTCATTCTTTTTGTATTACTTGCTCATGACTTGAATCAATTTAGTTCTCTTTTTACCCATAAATGTGAGGAAGATTTCCATTGTTCATATATGCTAGAGGCCACAGTTCTTGTTTTAACTGGATATTATTATGTTTAATCTTTTGTTTGTAGTGATTGTATGAAAGCATGAACATGATCAAGGCATTTTTTGTTTGATTTTGAGCATAACTACCTAGCCAAGTAGTCAATTCACCTTGTGAGTGTGTGAACTTTTGTTAACCCCTTTGAGCTTTTTGTCGATGTCCATTTTGTTTTTTCTAATGCTTGTCTATGAGTGTTTGGTTTATCTTTTTGTATGGACATTGATTCTTTGTTTTCTTGAACCCTTAACTATGATTTGTAGTTTGAATTTTTACCTTATCTTAGAAAGTAGGGAGTGCTCACATTATGATATGGTTGAATTCAAGTTGGGGAAAAAAATGTTTGCTTGCTCTTGTGTGTATTACTATGAGGTTGAGAAAGAAAATAAAAAGAAAGAAAAAAAGTGAAAAAGAAAGAAAAAAGAGAAAAGTTTTGAAAAATAAAAACAAAAAGAGTTCAAATAATATTGTGCTAATAAGTGATGTATGTTGGTTTAAAATTTGGAATGAAGTAGAAGTTTGATTGAAATTATTTTGCTTGATTTTTTGAGAGTTGATCACTCCCTTAGGTTAAGGAAAGTTTTTGTTTCGATTAGCTTTAGAACTTGTCCCTTGTTTGTTAACCAAGCCACATTACAACCTTGAAAAGACCTTGTGATTCTTGCCTTTGTATTTTTCATTATTAGTTTTTGGATGAATGCATAATTTAGTCTATTGCTTACAAGATTGTGGATGAATGTTTTTTGCGCCTCACTTTTGTGTGTTCTTCATCTACCGATGAATTTTTACTTATTGTGATTCATGATTGAGCTTGTTTTGTTTTAGAATGTTTAGTATAATTTTTGTACTTAGGATTCGTTTCGCTTACATGTTGCCGTTGTAGGATTGTGGTAAATATTTATCTTGCGTGTGCATTTTTGTTTGAACCATAAATTTGTTTTATATTTTCAGAACTTGTTGATTCATGATTCTTTGGTTGATTGCTTTTGGTTATTTGTTTTGTTTGGCCTTGTTTGAGGACAAACAACTTCAAGTTGGGGAGAGTTTGATAAGTGCAAATTGTAGTTATTTTTGTTTATAATTTTTGTTGCACTTATCGACTTTTTGTTGTTAATAATCATTAAATAAACCTGACTTTTGTGTAAATACATTTAGCTTGTGTTTATTTGTGTTTTTGTGTTTGATGTTTTTCCATTCATTTTGTAGGTATTTGTTGCATTTTAGAGCATCAAGGAATAAGGTGTCGAAGGCACGACTCTGGATGCGCATTTTTGGAATAAAAGACCAGTTTTGAGAAGTTTTTCCCAGGAGAGTCTGCTTATCGCGCATAAGGCCTCTAAGTGCGAGTGCGCTCAGTGCAATTTGTAGCGCGCTGCTTGCGTTTTGACATTTTGGCAGACGCATTGTTTTGGAGCTCGCTTAGCGCAGTTTAGGTTGGTTTAATGTGTAAATATCGCGTGGCCCGCTTAGCGCGGTGAGCCCGCTAAGCGCGGTCTGTTGAGATTTGTTTTATAACTTCATTTTTAGTTTATTTTTTGTTATAGTTTTTGGGAAGTTTTTGCTCCCAACTCCATAAACCTCCAATTTTTTTAGGATTAGCTTAGATAATAACTATGAAGCTTGCATACAGATGATTCAGGGTGGATTGCTCTTTGATCAGCGCTGACAAACTGGTAGATCTGTGGTTCATTTCTCTTTTTCTTTGTGTATTCTCTTTTGGTTGGGTTTGTATATGTATTTACTTTGATTTTATGTATATTTGTCGCCCTTGGCGTTATATAAAACTTGCTTTACAAATCTTTGCCGATTGTTATTCTTGATTTTTTCTCTGTGCAATGAATTTGAGTTTCTATAGACATATACTGCTTGAATTCTTATCTAAGATGATTATTTGTTAGTTTCTGAATTCTAGAGATAGATTTAGAGCTGGCATTCACTTTGGGTATCTGTGATTAATGCTTTTGTATTGTTTATGTCGCTCTAAGAGATCGTCAATGCAAGCGAGCATGGTTGACTTTTGTGTTGTTAAGGTTGGTTGAGAGATCTCCGCCGAGGTGATATAGTGGGTGTTGTGTTTGATACGTGATGACATTGAGTAGTATTGTAGGTTTAGTATAGCAGGTCGATAGGTTGAAGTCTGTGAGAAGTAGTATATATGCATGCTTGATAAGTTATTCCTTTTTCCTTTTTATAAATTTATTTTCTGTTGATACCTTTACTTTTAACCCATTTAACCCCAAACTCATTAACAAGGGATTTATCGAATGACAATTCAATACACCAATCTTTGTGGACGCGATACAATATAACCTAAATATCACCCGGTAAATTAATAACTTACTTTTTGCTTACCGCTTTACCGCATCAAAGAATGCCCTGGTGGCAAGATAAGAATTCTTGGGTCCAAATTGCTCCAAATCTTCTATAAATAGGGTGTCCAAATCATTTCTTCAACATCACACACCACAAACAGAGATGAGGCAAACATATACTTACCTTACTTTTGTCTAATTCAGTGGTGAGAAGTTACCACTTCAATTTAGGTTCTCCGAGGACACGCATATCCCCGAGCTGACTACCATACTGAATTCTCTCCTGCAATATCTAGAAAATCGAAAGGTGGTCAAGATCGAGTATCGTTCACCCTCACTTGACACTGAAGAAAAGATAAAGTTCACTCAATTTGCACTGAAGACGGATGACGATTTAAAGGTTATGTGAAGTATTTCTCACCGATACTCTACTAAGGGTCTGATTGAAGTGGATGTGAAGTTTCAAAGATTGAGAAAAAATATTATCAAAATGTTGCGACGTCCTCAGCTATCCGTTTATAACAATATGTAATGTTAAATTTATGTTCCACTATCTATTTAATTCCGACTATCTATGTTAAATCTATGTTAACTTGTTTTAATTTTAAGATTTTTGTTTCTGTTTGGAAGTCAGAGTTTATTTCAGATATGTGCATCCGAAAGTTACTATTTGATGGGTTCGGATATGCATCTCCGAATTTATTCTATAAAAATATAATGTGACAAGTTCGAACATACATATCCAAAATAAAAGAGTATTACGAAAATTTCACAAAAAAAACCTTTAAAAAAACATAAAGGTGGATTAAGATTTTTTTTTTTTAATAATGCACCGCTCAATTTAAGAGTTACTAATCCTAAAATAATTGTAGGATTTGATGAAGAATATATACAAATGGTCTCTAATTTTTTTTTTCATTTCTTAATTTATAAGTTACAATACATTATATAATTTTTTTTTCAATGTTTAACCCAGTTTATGTAGAGAAAAAGTTCATTAAATTTAATCGGTTTAGTAAATCTATTAAATTTATATGACGTGAGCTAAATAAAGTACATGCATAATTCTAAAATATATTTTGTGTACACCCGGTAAAAAAATTATACAATAAAAATAAGATGTTGATGATGTTATAAAAAAAATGGGAAAAGGGTGATGCACTTACGGTAAAATATTTTTATATATTATCAATTAATTATTATTATATATTTAATTAAATTATTTTTTTATTAAAATTATTTTGCAATGACATGATAGATTGATGATTTTTTATTGAATAATAATAATGCATATATCCATTAAACTCTAAAAAAAAGTAGAGAGAAAATAAAGTTTTTAACGTGTAAGAATATTCTTGTAAAAAAAAAAAGAGGTATAAGAATATTAAATATAAAATATCATTATTGAACAATTATCTTATACAAACACTAATATCCTAATTTCATTGTTCAATTAATTAAAATAAAAAAACCCTGATGTAGGACAATGCACGTGTGATTGTGAGAGAGAAAGAGAAAGAGTGTGTATACAAAACTATAGAATAATAATAGACTCTCCCTTATGAAACAAGATTTAAAAACATTCCCTTTACAATTTCATTAAAAAGCATAAAACTCTTAGTTGACCAAACTATTACACACACAAACCCTCACATGGCATAGAACATGCCACTATTAGAACATCAACATAGCTAGAAAACAAGAAGAATAAACCAAAAATATTCCAAATCCAATTTAGGTTTTTTCATTTCATACAAATAAATACCTAAGAACATGGAAGGAGAAAGAGATGTTCCTAATTATGAACTTCAAGTTTCATTCACAAACACTCCTCAAACCATCCATGAAATGAGTTTTGTTCAATTTGAAGAAAATCAAGTTCTTAGCTTCTTGTCTCCATCTACACAATCTCAACCTTCTCAGCTTTCTCAATCTCTAAACTCCGGCGGTAGCTCCACCCCCGCAGCTACCGCTGCTGCCGTCTCAGCAACCACCACAGCCGCCGGATTCAGCCCTAATGATCTTGTCACTAGAACTCCTTGGAATAATGAACAGGTAGTTTCATTTTTTTTACTTTGATTAGAATATATTTAATATATACTCAAAATTAACATCAAATCAATTAAAGTTTAAACTATATATTTGTGAGTTTTGTTTCCTTTTTTGTGCAATAATTTAGTTATTAGTAATTAATTACTAATTATTTGGATAATACAAGTGAAGTTCAAACTATATAATCTTCAATTTTTTTGATTAATTTGTATATTTTTGTTATTTGTGTGTTGTTATGTCTTTTTCATTGTTAGGGTATTGTTTTCATATATATTCATTAAGATGATAATAATGATGATTAATTCAATAATCATATGAATGATACAACGAATGAATCGAACTTTTGTGATTTTTTTTTTATCAGGTGAGAACTCTAGATCCCAAAGCTGTTGTAAGTGATGAGAATTGCACTGGAAATACTAGTGATGGCAACAACACTTGGTAACTCCAAAATTTAATTACCACTTTCAATGTTCTCTCTCCCTTTCCCTCTCTATATACAAAAGTGCATGCACGTAAATATTATACACAAGATGATATTCTTTAGGCTTGGTTGTGCCAAAAATCTGAAGTCCTTGACCATATTATAAATATAGAAATTGATTTTGGATATAAAATAAAAATATAGAAATGTTATTTTTAATTTTTAATCTCTATCTCTCTTGGGTTATAGATGAAGAGCAACTTCAAGAGATTTGGACTCATAGATTTCATAAACATATTTCTCAAAGAGATCATCTCTAACTTTTATCTTTCTATAATATTTTAGAGATACTTTAAGAGAAAAGAGGAAAATGAATATATTTCGTCAGAACGGTATTTGAGTGTGTGCAATGTATATTACTGTATATAATAAAAAATTTAACACAGTTAAATTGTATTTAAAAAAAATTATAAAATATTTGTCGTAGTTAAAATGAAGCAAAATAAAACATTTATTTTGTCACTTTTAACTGTAACTAAACTTACAGGACTTTGAAATTTAAGACGATCCTATGTTTTTTGTTTTATTTGAATGTTTTGTTTGAAGAATCATATAAGTTATAATGTCTTAAGCTAGGAATAATGATGTTATGATATGTTAGGTGGAGGAGTGGAGGAAGTGAGAAGAACAAGGTGAAAGTGAGGAGAAAGCTAAGAGAGCCAAGGTTTTGTTTTCAAACAAGAAGTGATGTAGATGTGCTTGATGATGGTTACAAATGGAGGAAGTATGGTCAGAAAGTTGTTAAGAATAGCCTTCATCCAAGGTATGTAATGCATTAATTCTTTCTTGATCAATAATTTCTTCACTTTTTATTTCTTAATTTTAATTTTTTATAACTTATCTAAACCTACATGATTCATTACATTCAATTTATCATTTTTTTTAATTATTATCAATATTGACTTATCATATCACTATTGTATTTAAGTGTCTATGCTTTCTAGAATGTTCATATTAATAAGTTCAATGCAGATATTAATAGAGTTTTATCTAATTTTCTTAACTTTGTAATACTAAAAATAAGATACTTTATTTTATTAAAATTTACTTAAAAACAAGATGAGCACCATTATAGATAATTTGTCAATATGTGAGATTTTGGTTCCTACTTTTTGCGTTTGAAAGCATGAGTTTGTGATGAAAATGTTAAAACTTATCTATATTAAAAAGGCATTATATCCGGAGAAATGAAGGTAAAATGTCTTTTTTAGGAAAATTAAGGGTGTCGGTAATGAACAAACAAAGTGAATATTCCTAAATATATTTTTAAAAACTACATTTTTTATTAAGATTTAGAGAGAAAGAGAGAGAGAGAAAGTAATCAAGAAATGAATGATCAAGATGTTTACTTTCTTGAATATAGTACTATTTGGGAGTATAGTGAAGATTGATGGTTCAGACTGAGCATATATATTGATGGGAGAAAAAAGAAATAATTGGTGAGAATATATTTATATCTTCTCTAGTGGATATAATAACTATAGTTTTGACAATAGAGCACACTATAGGGTCCCCTACTTCCTCTCCCTTGTACTATCTTCCCAAAACACTCAACTTCTTTTTAAACACTTAGCTAATTAAATTTATGTTTATGTATATTTTGTGCACCCATTATTATAAATATAATGATATTGTTGATCTTGTCTAGTTTGATTTTGAAAATGATTTACATAAGATTTGATTCTAAATCACCAAATTTTCTCTCATTTCAAATGTTTATTTTGAGAATAATTTATATAAAATTTTACATTTATTCAAGATCACTTCATTTTCTCTTATTTCAAATATTTATTTTATCTTAGGTACAAGTGAAAAAAGAAAAGAAAAGAAAATTATATAGAAAATAAAACTCCATCAGCTAGCAAGAGATTTATTTCAAATATTTATTGAGTATTTGTTAGTCATTATTTTAATATTTAAATGACTTAAAAGCATTTTATTATATTTTATTTTAAAAAATCCTATTTATTAAAAAAATGGCTTTTTGGTTTTACATATTTCATTTTCTTAAAGTTTGGTCTCATATTGATGGAGCAATATATAGGTTGATGCATTTAATATTTATAAAATATATTGGTGACAATTGGTTGTACATATTATGTTAAATTTTGTTCACTTAATTACTTATAGGTGAACAAAATTAACCCAAAATTCAAAAAAAATAGATAAGTTTGAGAACCAAAAAAACTAGTTTTTAAAATAAAATAATAAAAAATTTATTAGCACAATAAAAGTACAATAATAATATTATATTTTACTCTAAACTAACAAACTTAATATGATAATAAAAAGTTACTATTTAAAGGTTTAGATAAAAGTAAACTAGGCTTGTGTTCATTAGCTAAGGAGAATATTGCAATGGTGTCTTCTGAATTTTTCATGTAAGAAAGTTCAAAGCATTGATGAAAACCAAATAAAACAAAATTGCTTTGTTTACTATCATATACAAAATTACTTTAGGAAAATATAGTATAATAAACATGCTAAATAAACAAAACAAATAAAGTAGTATGATGAAAACCAAAGTTACTTAGACTGAAGGAAACTACTAGTAGTAATAATTTAGAGAAAGAAAAAGATCATGGAATAATATGTTTGTTGATGGAAAAAAAGTTTAATAGTTTTACTTGAATTAGTTAGTAACTATTGAAGCAATACAAAGTAGTTGAAGTGCTATATATTATATATTAAACCCAAGAAAGTGTTGGTAAATTTGCTTCAGTTGTAGACTATCACTTCAAGATTGTACTTAAAGATATGAACTTAGAAGTGGAATATGAAGTTGAAAAGATTTTTAAATGATCATTACAAGAACATACAAGGCCTGTGAGTTGTTTGAAAGTGTAAAAAATGACTATTGACTATATTGAGTACTATTATTGAAATTAAATAGGCTCTTTTTTAGAAATGGCAAAGGATAAATATAATTAAAAAGTAAATCCCTAATATAAAGAGTATTAAAGTAAATATAGAACAAATAAATATGAGTGGTAAAAAAATATGTAAAATGAAGTAAAAGAAGATCCGACAAATGCACTATATAATCTAGAGTCAATCGAGAAAAAAAATTAGAAACCGATCAAACGAATTAAGTAAGCACACTCTTATATATATTAGCCCACTATACTACGGTTGGGACTCTGAAGAATGCATATATGTCTTCTTAAGAAAAGATTTTTTTAAGAAGAGTTTGATCATATCCACGAACTCTTTAACTATGACTTTTTTTTTTTGAGAAAATAATATAGTTTTGAAACTTTCACACGAGACTTCACCTAACCATACAATTGAATTTTAGAACATAATCAAATGAGACTTCACCCTAGCCATAGTCCCGAAAACCTCAACATATTAAGCATATTCGAAGTCAAAATAAAAACAAATGCTTAACATGGCAACCCCACAAAACGGATATATAATTCTACTATGATAAACAAACATATTTCATTTTAAAAGGTTTTGTCATATTGGAATCCTATATTGAGTAATTTTCGGGAGAAGAAAACAACTTTTGAGGAGGTCAAACTCTTCGAAAATTTGCCCAAAGTAACAATCACTTCTTGAACCGAGTCTCTATCTTACAAAGGTTAACATATGTATGAATGTGCGAAGCTGATCGAATACGACCCATTATTACCCAACTTCACATAACTTAAATCATCTACACAAGAGCTCAAAATCGTATTAAAAATCTTTATCAAGCTAGAGACCAACTAGAAGTAGATAAAACCCTCCTCGAGTGCCCTCTCACATGAGACCGAGTCAACAAAAAGTCATATCTTTATAGACAAAATATCCTACCATGTGCACATTTCCAATGAGATCAACCTTCACCGTCACTTACCAAGAAAATCCAAATTCACCAAGGGAAGATCTCTAACATCAAGGCCACATTTGCTCGTAGATTTACAAACCACCGACCAATGTATCCAAAAGAACTTAATATTACCCTACACCTTAATTGAAATAAAACTTGTTTGGAGACATACCATCATTCTCTAAATCAGAGACGGAATCTTTATATAGGATAGAAAAAATGGGAAAACACTAGAGACTAGACCAGGAAGAACAATTCTCCTACTAAGACTAACATAACTATTTATCTAGGACCGTAACCTTTTGGAATAATAATATGCTTTAAAAGAAGATACTCTAATTTACAATTAAAGAAACACACAACCAACCTAAGGAAAATATCATCAACATTAACTCTCATAATTCTTTTAGCAAAGTTAATCATTGAACTAGATGTGAGCTCAAAAGAACGAAGCATAAAATTTAGGATCCAAAAATTCTCCATAGAGGGTTCTCTATAGAAAATAGTTTTGTTAACTTAATGAATATGTGAGACACTTTGGTTGAAGTTCCCCACCTTGATTAAAAAATATATGTTTATCAAATCTGTTTATCTTATCACAAGAGTCATCCCATTAACCACGTGGAGAAAAAAAGGCGTTGTGAGGTCACCTTGCTTTAGCCCAAGTAAATCATAATCACTTAGATATGATACTCATTTATCAAGATAGAGAGAATACTAGAAAACATATAAGATCATAATCAGTATCTCCAATTAACCCCTCAAAAAACCTTCGCAACATATAATCTTAGAAGTCCTAACTAATAGACTCATAAGTTTATTCAAAATTAACTTTAAAAGACAAATTTCCTAGTTTTTTTTTTCTATATCATCAACCTCATTCACTTTGATTGCCTACATCTATCTATTTTTTTACCTTTGGTAATGTTTGATTGGTTATGCTAAATAATATTCTCCATAACCACTTACAACCTACCAGCTAGGACCTTCACCACAAACTTATACATGTACTTAAATAGAGAGACCGATTTGAACTCCCCAAGGAAGCAAGGACTTACTTTTAGGGCTAAAAGAACAAATTAATTTGCAAAAATTTGCGAAAAAATAAGACAAGTGGTAAATTGATTAAACATGAATCCTATTTCTCCCTTTAACAAGGTCTATTAAACTCAATAAAAAGAGAAACTAAATACATCGGGACTAGGGTTCTTGTTACTCTATATGGATCTCATAAGTGTTATTATCCACTAAAGACAACACAGGGATAAAAATATTATCCAAAGAAGGTTTATCTTGCTTTCCCATTCGAGAGTTGATGATAAAACTAAGAAACATAATACGACACATATCAGTCGCTAGTTCTACCCATTTGTTCGCCACATGAAGAGCCAAAATTAAATTTCTTCTCCCCTAATTCTTATGACATGAATGAAAAGATAAGAGGTGAAACAACCAGAGGAAGAGGATTCTTCTTACTCAAAATTAGAGGATGATCCCCATTTTTAAAGGCTTCAATGAGTTTCTCAAGAAGTACAAAAACTGTAGAACATAAAGAAGATGAGGAGTGCTAGCAAAACTTTTTTTTAACACTCCCTCAAATACTCACTTTCTTATTGGTTGAAATATGTGTGGGGTCCCTCACTTTGGAAATGAGTCCCACATAAAGTGGTAGGACCCAAACATATTTCAACCAATAAAAAAAATGAGTGTTTGAGAGAGTGTTGAAAAGAGAGTGTTCTTAGCATTTCTTAAAGAAGATATATGAGATCACTACATGGACAATACTCTAATTCTAAAATCCCCAACCCAAATTTGGCCCATTTTAGGATGATTCCCTACACCCGTTTCTACTATATCCCCTACAATATATCCAAAACCATATCTCTTATCATAAATGCTGCTTACTTCCTTATCCAAACCTAGATAAAAAAGATGACCTAATAAAACCCCTCAAAACCACTGATGAATTGGGTGAAAATTTTGTTATTGATGAAATTGGTATTAGTGATTGTCTGAGATTTGTCTATATGAAAATCTGAACTTCTTTCTCATATCCAAAACACAAAGATATTTAATATATGTTTTCTCATTAAAAGAAATTAATATCTTTTTGATTTTTATTTATTTGTTTTGATAGATATAGTCACCTCTGTCGTTTTTAGATAGATATTTTTTTGTTTATCTTTAATTTTCTATATTGATTTTTGGACGACAAAACCAATCTTTTATAAAAATTACATATATTTTTAAGAGATACAACATTGTTATGCATAAGTGTTTGGATTCTATGTAAGATTTATTGTCTCGTATGTTTGAAAACATGCTCATGCATATACTTCAATAAACTTGATTTCAAGTATTTATTTTTAGTAAGATCTTTGTATATTAAAAATCATGAATAAGTTACCTACAATTAGTTAAAACGAGTTGCATGTATTTCACTATAGAAAATTTTGAATTCTAAAAAAAGTTAAGTCGAATAAAAGTGATTAATTTTAATTGATTTTGGAAAACATGCCCACAGTTTTTTTAAATAGAATTTATCTTTTTAAGAATGTGTCATTTTTTTGCTTAGTAATATATTAATTATACTATATAGTTATTATTCTTATGTTGGAATTTATGCAGAAGTTATTACCGTTGCACACATAACAACTGTCGGGTGAAAAAAAGAGTTGAGCGACTCTCAGAAGATTGTCGTATGGTGATAACCACTTATGAAGGAAGACACAATCACTCTCCATGCGACGACTCTAATTCTTCTGAACACGAATGTTTTACTTCTTTTTGATCCAACAATGTTGTTCAATAAAATTATTATGTATTAATTAATAAGTAGTTTTGAATTTTTTGTTTCATATAATATATAGGGATATTGCTATGTACTTGTATTTAATGATCTATATCCTCTACAACAATCTTTATGGAATTTTATACAATCAATGATTTCATTCGAATATAATGCTTTAATACCAAATAGACTTTTAAGTTCTAATGACATTATGGAATGAAAGGTGTCATGAACTTAAATTTTAAGAGTATGAAGGTCACAAGATTGATCAACACATCAAACTAAAGTTTAAGATAATGTTGTTGGAATTCACAATCAATATAGAACACCACTCCACACAGAAATGGATCACCTGCTACTTTTTTCTGCTGTCATTTCCTTATTGGCTCATCTAGTGGCCAAGAATAAATATAAATGAAATCAATAAAATGAAATTGGTTTGATGAGAGAGAGAAAATATGAATAGATGGCTGAGATGAAGGCATGATGGGTAGCAACAGGAAGAAAATTGGAGAGGATCCAAATCCACTTCACACTCTTCCCGAAAAAAGAGCAGTCAAAAGTAAACATAAAATGATAGGAAGTCTAATAATCCCATTAAAAAGAGAAGAAGGCCAAATATGTTGAAATACCTTTTTATTTACATTAAAGGGGTGCAATTAATCTACGTTAGCAATTTTAATACTTTTCAAAAGAGGGCCATGTACCATTTTATTCAGCAAAACCCTACCTATTTATAATATAATGTTGAATTTGTGATTTTTAATGGAAATTCTAAAATTTGTTTTTATGTATGTTTCTTTTACAACATAGATTTGCAATTTTAGTTTTAGCAAGAATCTATTATTGGTGTTCTTATTTTTTGATTCAATACCTCTCAAACCTATAAATCCACCCTCTAAAGAATTAGATGATATTATTCAAATTGCTCATGAATTAGATGCAATCAACCACACTCATCATCAAGTGGATGAGAGACTTCATACTGCTAGTCAGAATTTGGAACAATAATTAGGAAACATCCAAACTAGAATGGATAATTAGCAATCAATTTTGGATTCTAGACATGAATTTGTTATAACTCTTGTCACCAAATTAATGGTTCAAATTAGAGGGGAAAAACCACCAATGTTCACATAGCACCATCCTTTTCACGTATACCTATCATTTCTCTATTCTCCATGGTTATGCACATGTTATTACATCTATTATTTCACCTATTACCCATATCTTTACTTATGATAGTCACATCCATAGCCATATAGCTATACTTTCCAATAACACTACCCAACCTAATTTTATTACAACACTGGAAAATAAAGCAACATAACCGCCATCACCACCACCACCATTCTCTGCCCCCAAATTTTATGGGACCGGCTTATATCAATTCTTCAATTGTCTTTTCAAACACATCATTTATAATATTTCTACTTTCCATCAATACTGAAATTATATTCTACCGATGACAAGATGTCTGACACATTATTGTAACAAAGTGTATGACATTGAGTATGCGTAATAAGAAGGTAAAATGCATGACTTAAATAACACAAAAATGATTAACCTATTTTGGTGAAAAATCACATACATCTGAAGGCATTAACCCAATAAAAATCGCATACGTTTTAATAATCAGAAGTATAAATTGGTCTTATTTGAACTATTTTAGTTCAATGCATTTTTTCTTAATACTACTCGTGAACATCAATCTAGACTCGTAAATCTGAGACCTCTCTCACTTTCGCTTAAACATTCTCCCAAGTGTTTGAAAAATTATAAAAGTATATGAATGGTGAAACACTAACATAACTCAAATAATACATTCTACTAGATTAGAGATATGATCCAGGAATAGAGTATTGCAAATAAAACAAAGACTTAATAACAATTAATCACTTCAAGCTTAGCAATGCAAGGTCTGAATCTTCACAAAGGAGAATAACTCCTTTAAAAACAACAAAAGTCCAGTTAGAAAGGCGGGTTGGATTTTTGGTTTGAATGCGGATGAACCTCTAAAAGCTCATAGGATTAATCTTCATAATGTTTATTGTAAATCTTGGTTGAAATAATTCTTGAATAAATCTGAATCTCTTGAGAATACAAAGTTCAATCTTTCTTAGATCAAAACATGAATAAATAATCAAATATTTTATTGGATATAAAAGAAAAACAAATTTCCAAAAGCACGAGAAATACGTCAATCATCATTGCGTGCCAAGCAAACAAATTAAGATAAGATGTCTTACATGATGCATGACCTTTTGTTTAACTTTTTTCTTTCCACTGAAGTTTTACAACCATTTTGAGACAGGATGCCTCACGATTTGACAAAATATCTTGCTTCACATAATTCAACCAATTATTTCCAATCATAGTACTAACAAACTCCTCATTTGGCCAGATTTTAGGTAAATCAAAACATGCATGATGTTATACACATTCTTACAGACTTTCTTCTAGATAATTCACATCCCTTGTAACTAGAACATGTTTAATAACATTAAATCACAATTAAGCTAATAAAGAATGTGTTAAAAAATAGTGACCACATCTGATGAGAAAAACACTTGCATAACCAAAAATGTGCTTTTACTCCCCCTATTTTCGACAAATGGACAAATAATGGAGACATAATATTTAGCCCATAAGGGCATATAAAATAGAAAACCAAATAATCACCCCAACAGAGGGAAAATATTACCAAATTATCAGCCTCCACAGAGGAAAACAACACCAAGAACAAAACTCCCACACTGGGTAAAAATAGAACAGAACTAATATCTTGCCATAAATATGGATTACAAGATCATTTAATCAGAATAAAAAAAGAACCAAAAGAAGTTCTTTCATCCCAATTTTAAAATATCTAAGAGGCACCACTACTTGAATCAGTCTTATACTCCATATCTTCTTCACCTTCACTACTTACTTGCTCTTCATTCTCATTTGATGTTCCAACATCTTTCTCAGCTTTTTGCTTCCTAAGAAGTGGGTGCAATACAAGGCTTCAAATTTACCATTTAGATATGACCATCAACCCCACTTTTCTGGTGGGCGAGGTAGTTCTCATTTCTTGTAAGTACATATTATCACCCGTGGGAAGTACATATTCACCAAAATTCATAAGGTTAGGGAGAAGGATGTTTGGGACATATTTCCTAGGAAAAAGCGTGTAACTAAAATTTAAAGGACTCAGAGGAACACCAATAGCATCATCATCAATTACAATATCAGGTTTTTGCTTAATTAGAATATCATATATCAAAGATGGAAAAACAATGACAAGCTTATTGGAAAAAGACTCGCCATGTGTAATACCCTTTAATTCCCCACACAAATATATTGCACAATTAGAGTAAATTAGCATGCATATCAAGAGGGCATCACATATATCTCCAAAATAAAATAACACATATAATGGTCATACTCAAATGCACGTATTTAAATTCATGCTTGTATATATTTAACAATTATGCATGTCACAGCGGCATCTTGCGTCTCTACATGGTACCAACACATGAATCTTGAAACAACATAATATAATAAATCATTAGGCACTAAGGCCATCCATCTCAATATCTCCACATAAATTGACAAATACGAAAGGATAATATTTGTATCATGTTCTCAATACATCATAACATAAACAAATAACATAATGCATGTCAAATATCTCATACAAATCAAACATGAACCAAGCGAACCCCGTGCCACATGACACACTATCTAGTAAGGAATAACAAACTACTAATCCCTCCGACTAGTCCTTGCGAGAACCACTGATGTCTTGAGTATTTGAGTGATGTCGTATAAAACTGTTAAATTATAATCCAGTGTGTCGAAAAGATTTGATTTGTTTTAGATTTAAATAGATTTTATTTAAGTCTAGAATAAATTAGATTTAATTTAGTAACAAAAATATATTTTGGGCTTTGGGCTTAGGGTGTAAGCTCAGTTATAAATAGAGGGAGTAACCCCTATTTTTGTAAGCAAGTCAAGTTGTATTCAAAGAATTTGCAGTTGCAAGTGAATAACAAAGTTTTCACAGTTTGTGAGCAGAGAGAAACTCTGCAGAAATTATTTGTCTTGTCTTCTTTTCTTTGTTTGTCTCATAATTAAATTTTCATTATGGTAGAAATTCATCATAGACTTTGGTGGATTTCCAACATCTGGTATCAAGAGCTTTGTTTCGATTCAAGGGAAGTGTCAATCAAGAACGGTTGAAGAATTCATGATGATAAGCTATGGGAATGCAAATTATCCAGCAACCCTACCAATTCTGAAAGTTGACAACTATGAGAATTGGTGCAAACAGATGAAAGTCTTATTCAGGTGTCAAGGTCTTTGGGACCTTGAAAAAGATGGAGTCGAAGCGCTTGGAGAAAACGCTTCAGAAGAAGAAAAGAAGAAATACATAGAATCTGAGAAGTTTAGTTATAAAGCATTATTTATAATTCATCAATGTGTCAGCCCAGACAATTTCGAAAAGGTTAGTGATTCAGAATCTGTAAAAGAAGCTTGGGAAATCCTTGAGAAGTCTTTTGGAGGCGCTGAGAAAGTGAAATAAGTGAGGTTACAAACTCACAAAAGGACCTATGAACTGCTTCAGATGGAAGACAGTGAAAACATATCTGATTTCTTCACTAGAATTACAAAACTAGTAAATCAAATCAAGATATGTGGAGAAGCGTTAACAACAAGAGTTGTTGTGTCGAAGATCTTAAGATCTTTAGCTCCTAAGTTCGACCATATAGTGGTGGCGATAGAAGAGGGGAAAGACTTGTCGAAATTGACAAAGGAAGAGCTTCAAGGGACGCTTCAAGGTATGTGAGGAATGTGTGCAGGCGAAGCAACACAAGAATAGCTTCAGCAAGGATGCAGGAAGCAGATCAAAGGCTAGTCTTAAAGTCATATACTCTGATGTATGTGGACCAATCCAGGTGGATTCGATGGGAGGTAACAAATACTTTGTCACATTCATAGATGATTTCAGTCGA